TTCCGGATTAAATAAAACATACTTCGATGTTTCAAATCATTATCAAATTTGGAACAAGGGCAGATAAAATAATGTTCTTCATGGCAGCTTATCTCTAAGGGGTCACTAGAAAAACTCAGGTGATTTACTTTGATCCTCTTCAAAAAAATTGTCTCTTCAAAGCGCATAAACAAAAATTAAAAACTCGAAGACGAGGCTGTAGCTAACTACCTGACGGCAGCCCGATTTGTTGAAATTCATAGAAATAACGAAGCAGGAGGAAATTAAAAGCAAACGCACTGAGCAGCCTTACAAAATCTGGTCACAGCAGTTTGGGAAGAAAATGGCGGCAGCTGCTGACGAAATGTCAACATCCCTATTTTATAATTTTATCTCTGTCAATAAATCAGTCATGGCCACAAAATATTGTCCTTTTGTAAGAAAAAAATAATTCAAAGACATAGTAAAACCATTATCCCTGGAATGTGCCTTTTATGAATCATAGAATTTCAAACTTTAGCTTTGTAACTTAAGTTACAAAATATATTGATTTTAAAAGTGTCATCAGTTTCACACCTATAAACTCAAACTTATGATTTGGAATGATGTGAGTTCAAAGTAGAAAAATAGTAATTGTTTCTAAAATAGAATTTTCAGAATTTTTGATGGATATCTATTGATTTGTGACATCTGATACAAACAGTAAAATAATCATACTTTATGTTTTCAGGCTTCATCCCAAAAAGAACCTGAAACTCTCCTCACGCTCTCACTAAACTGGTTACTGTCCGATCAGCAGCCAAAAATGCAGAAGATGCTGCAGAAAGCTCTGCAGACTTGGTTCAACACAAATAAACTTAAAGATGGAATTAAGGTGGACATAGACGTCAAAGACATCTTAGGAGACGGGAGTGCTGTGATAAAGATTAAACCTTCTCCAGGTGAGGCATATCYGTCAAAACAATGTTTCATRTTTGTATGACGTGATGATTTTATCTTTGTCACATCTGTTTAGAATGTCTTCATCCTGATAACTTTGTGATAYTTTGTAAGATAAAATAGTTCTTTTTATATTTATCTTTAAGCCCTGACTGATCTTCAGAAACTAAATGGTGAAACTCTGACAACAAAGGATGGGATAATAGTAGCCAYCATACAGTCAGTCATCCTGGGACAACCAAAGCTGATGACTCCGGACCCAGATCTCCACTGCTGAAGATAAAGATGACCATCAACGATGATTTTATCAATACCGGACTGACCATGGAGCAGGACCAGTGGAAGAAGATGTCTTCTTTTCATGAGAAAGTTGCAACAATCAAATCGAAGTTTAATGTGGACTTTAAAGAATCCACCAACCGTCAGGATGAAGTCACTGTCAAAGCTGTTTACAACGGACCTGTAGGAAACGTTGCCATGGAGAATCACGCTATCAGAGCTCTTCTACAGCTGTACCAGAAGACTCTAAACTCACACCTGAGTCTCTCACAACCTAACGGTGCCTCTGGGTTTAATCTGTCACTGAACAACCTTGACAAAGGTTATCTGTCAGGAGAAGCCTCCAATGGACCTGAGTTGAATGGGAATTTAACACAGCAAGAAAATAAGACACCATCAGGAGAGGACAGTAAAGAGGAACGATGTCCAATATGTTTGGATTCATTCACCAACAAGAAACAACTGAAATGTAAACATGAGTTTTGTGACAAGTGCCTGCGAGAAACTAAGAAGCACCAAGGACCCATTTGTCCGATATGCAAAGATGTGTTTGGTGTGATAGAGGGAGACCAGCCAGTTGGGACAATGAGATGGGACAAAATTGGTTATCCCCTTTCTGGATTTCCAGGCTGTGGTCATATAGTCATCACTTACAATATTCCAAGTGGGAAACAGACGGTAAAAATTTAAATGTATTATTTGCTATTTTTTTTATTATATTTTATCACAACTATCAGGTAACTCTTTGTTCTACTGACAGAAAAAACATCCCAAACCTGGTGAGTACTACTCAGGTATAGCCAGACAGGCCTATCTTCCAGACAACAAAGAGGGTAATGAAGTGCTGCTCCTGCTGAAAAAAGCCTTTGACCAGAAGCTGATTTTCACCATTGGGACGTCCAGAACAACTGGTTTGGACAATCAGGTGACCTGGAATGACATTCACCACAAGACCTCTCCATCAGGTGGACCAGACTGGTAAAGTACCCCAGTTTGTGTTTATTTTATTTTATTTTTTCAGTTAGAGTAAATGCTTCAGGTATTAACTCTTACACACATTGTGTTTTTTACAGTTTTGGGTATCCTGACCCCGACTACCTCAGCAGAGTCAAGGAGGAGCTGAAGGCTAAAGGCATTGAATAAATTAAAGAAGAAATCTTTTTCAAAATTTAACAAATTACCGGAATTCACATGCTTCAATCTTTACTTTGTTAAAGCCATAGGTCTTTAGAAGTGGAGTGTTTTGAACAGAAACAAAAATCATCTTGCCCCTTGCAGATAGCTCTTTCAACAAACTCAGTTGGGGAAAACTAGAGATCCTAGAAATAAAAGTAAAGTTTAATATTGACAGGATTGAAAAGCTAAAGGCCAGTCAGAGCCAGTTGAAAACCAAATTGGATTGTTCAAATTTCAAAAGATTCTTAGCCTTTCATTCAAACCCTATTAACCTTTACACATTTTACATCACACCTTTTATTTTACATGGCATTTAAAACATTTTCAAGCACAAGTAGTGTCTGCTGCAGTTGGCTGTAGCACTTCCTGCAACAATAACTTATTTCTGCCAGAAGAACTGTGGACTTGAAAGTGTGTAAATATATAAAAAAATTGCATTTACATAAAAAATATTAAGGTTTAAAGTGGTTTTATAATGGCAGCAATCCTTTTGGACCCAGACAGACTGGCCTATAGCTCAACAGCTTGGGCAAAATTAAATGATTTCTTTGAATTACAGTCATTTAAACAGTTAATCTACGACATGTAAGACATTGTTTCCAAGTTTTTAACAAACCCCACTTTAAAAGGTTTGAACTATTGCTTTAAAATGTGGTTAATGTAATCAAGGGTTACTTTGAGGTGCACTGGGAAATGACTCAAACATTTCATGTCATTCATTGTTTTGTGTAATCATATTTGGCATCATTTACTTTAAAATACTTATTTTATAATATGAAGGTGTATAAATGTAACCCAGTGTCAATTTGATTATATTCTTTAATAAAGGTTTCAATTACGCAACATGGACTCAAATCATTCTTCACTCAACAAAACACAAAAACACACCAACTAGTTGCCTGTACAATTTTAACGTTTTTTATTTATCTATGACAATATCTGTTATTTTGTTTGTAAAGTACTCCAGCAAAAAAACTCAACATTCTTCTCTTTCCAGAAGAAAGTCTCGAGTCACCATGCATCGTGTTCTATAAAAGCTATGTGTCAATTTTCATCAAAAAACAAAATCCAAAAGGAAAGTCTGGAAATGCATGTATGATTCTCCAAAAAAGTGTCCTTTAGGTAAAATGATTGTACTTCTCGTTCGATTTTTAAGACAAAACGTACACAACGGCATAATCGAACACTGGACAGGAAACAGGAAAGCAAAGTAAGAACTCGTCGTTACATCGAAGACTTGTGTTACTGTACACATGCAGTAGAGAGATCATGGCTGATGCGGTTGTTTTTGACAGAAGCAGCATTTTGAGGACAGAGGCTGAGCGTAAGGAAGGGTCAGAGCGACCGGACGGTGGCGTTAGCAGCAGYAGGGCACAGAGGAACGACGGATCTGATGGCGCTGAACGACAGGAGGAACATAATGCACTTCAGACTGAGGCAGAACAAGACTGTGAAGGTACAGACTTTGATTCTCTAAAGGCAGAAAGATACATTTATTCACAAAGCCAGATGCATTATTCGGTCTTTAAAAGAAAAAAAAAAAAAACAAGAAAAAGAACGATAGATCCAGCTAAATCATCTTAATCCTCACGCTTTAACCGAACAGCAGCCTTTCTTTGCTTCTGGAGGAAGACCTTGGTAACAAATAGTTCAAACAGGATACTTTTCATCTCTAACATCTGTAACCTCTCTTCTGTGGAATGTTGAATCCATCCTCCCAACAACAACAATCACATTTCAACATGAGCTCGACTTTTAAGACAAAAAAACAATCATATCTTCTTTACATCCGACGGTAAAAAAAACCCTCACAGAACACATAATACTGTCAAATGTGAGATTCTGTGCAAGGAAGACAACACAATCATTATATGAACATTGTTCTGAGGAAAAATTGTGGGAAAAAAAAGTAGTTTCCATCTGGTATCAACATTTTGTTCTTTTTCCTCTTTTTACATGTGCTATACACAAACGGTGCTCTCACAGATCTTTCTCACACAGATTCGCTGAGAAACCCGTCAAATCACGTACGTACCGATACGATTTCTTTCTTTTTTTTGTTAAAGAAAACTGAATTTGCTTTTCCCACTCAAAGTCCACACAAGCAAACAGTTGGCACTGGTGAAATGGAACAAATGGTCRATTTTCTCATCTGTACAATCCATACAAAAATAAAAAATTGAAATCGCTTCACTGATAGCATCTTTTTCGGTTTGATTTTTTTTTCCATTCATGTTTGTTTTCTTTTTTTCTTTTTTTTTTTTTTTACAGAGGTAGTGGCTATTTAGGTAAAGGGTACAGGAGAAAGTGTAAATTAAAAATCTCTCATAGAAAATTTTTTTTTTGACCAGAGGAATCTCTAAAGAACAAAATATAATACTGCAATCACATACAAAAGTAGTCCTTCATTTTTGTACATTTTTGCTTTTTACAGTGTTCACACCTTAGCAATTCATCACGCTCTTGATTTTGTTGTTGTTTAGCTTTTCTTCAAAAAGGCAAGAAGTGGGGAGTGTTTTGGAATATTCTGATCCAGCTGATGGTCAGTCTAGGCCAGAGGGTCTACGAGGGGCTCTTCGTCTCCACGTGACAGCAGCTCCTTCTTCTCGTCTGTGCTCGCCAGAGAGTTGCGACTGTTGTGAGCTCCCATGTACAGAGTGGCGTAGACGGGGTTTGTGAAGTTGGTGGGCTAAAACAACGGGAAGAATAATCCATCAGGGAATCAGGAAACGATTGTTTTAGAGTTTGAGCTTGACTGTTTCGTTTACCTTGTCTGGGTCCAAAGTGAAGTYTGCGTCCAGCAGCTCCCCAGCGTCGTCATCAGGCTCGCCCTCGTAGATCTTATACGCAGGGTTTCCAATCTCTACATTCATGGCCCCGTTGGTCATCCGTTGGTGCTGGAAGCCCTTGGCTCTATAGAGCAACAACAACAAAAACACAGTCATACCTTCTTGTCTGCTTCAGTATTACACGAACAGTGCAAGCAGCTACTTTGCAAACAGGACTTTCACCACCATCCAGGCTGAGCCACAACACAGACACCAACACGAAACCAGCCTTTATCRATCCCGGCCGGGTCAGAACTCACTGGGCCTGGATATAAACAGTACTGTGCAGAAGTTTAGAGTCAACCCTCGTTTCTTAATGTTTTGTCTCTAAGGAACCACGCTTTTGGTAATCTTTCAAACGCCTTCAGGCTTCTTGACGGTTCCTCAACACCTGTTTCAACCCCAATATCCAAGCATTTTCACAAGTATGGTTTTTTATTTTTTATGCCATTTCCCTTTAACCTGAACTCATTTAGGCAAAAAACTAACTTAAGTAAAAGGTGAAGCTGTTGAGTTGATACACAACAGACAATTTAGCAAATAAACATTTTTTCAATCTTCAGGTAGTTTTTAAACAGCAGTTTGTCACATTGACAATTTGCTCCCAATTAACTGAATCTATAAAAACCACCAAAGATTACAGTAGGAGAGGCAGAAAAGTTTTTTTTTAGCATGAAGTTGATTTCCAAAGATCTATAAGCTAAAAAATAGTCAATGGACCCTTGAAGGATGGGGCAGCTCAGGTCCTCTTTCAGGTTTTTGCAGAATCTTTACCTTTGTCTTCAGTTCATATAAATGTAAGATGCTTTTATCTACTGTAGATAGTTTTAAATCTTGAGTCTGATGCTTCTTTTTTTGTTCTCGTCTCATGTTTTCAAACATCAAAATGAATATATATAAAAAAACTGCTAAAGTCCAGAGGAAAACTTTGAAAGACCTTGAAGAGAACTGTAACTCAAGAGTACATTAAAAGAACCGATTGGTTCCTTGAAGGTAAAATATAAAGAAATCAGGGGCTGGGGGTTGGGTAAAACTTATGTGCAGTACTGTAAGGTTCTTAGATTTTAAAAATTAAATRGTCCTTTTGAATAAAAGGAAACGATGCATGTTTTAAGTCACATTTTCCAAGACAAGCTTGGAAGAAGAATCTCCATCTTCCATGAGGCGCACGACCACAGTACAAAACCAAAGCACAGAACAATAAGATGGACATAATTATACAAAAGAGCTAAAAGCACTGGACAATATAACACCTACACAGATCTATTCATTGTGTCGGGTCAATAGATCTGCCCCGGAGCTGCTCTGAAGACAGAAACTGACTTTAGGAACGGGATGGTTCCACAGCTCCCATGAACACCAGTGAAAACGGCAAAACATTGACTACAGGACCAGGCACGGCACAACAGCAACCAAGACTCATGATTAAGGAGAAAAGAGCGCATCAGAATGGAAAAAAAAAAAACGGAGAACGAGTATGAAGGAAGGACTTGGAACCCTGGCGATTTATTACCGCAAGCGTTTAGAGCCGGTTTTTCCTGGCCGGCTAGACCTGAGGAGCAAAAGACACGCCATTACAGAGAGGAGAGGAAAATGGAAAACAGAACGTGGGAGGAAGAAAGAAAGAGAAGCCAGAGAATGCCTTCGTGRTTACTCACCCTCTCATTCTTCTCCGGTACCACAACACGGCTCCTACAGCCAGGAGAATCAGAATCAACAGGATCAACACTCCGGCAACAATGGAGGCCGTGCCTGCAAACACAAACACAGTTGGGCTCAGGTCCATCACATCGCAGGAAGTCCAGCTTCTTTGCTGCTTAGCTTACGTCCACTTGGGCTTCGGTCCTCAWTGCTGTCGGCCACAGACTCGCAGCGATACCCCGCCCAGCCTGGGGTACATCTAACCAAACAACAAATATTTTTCAAAGGAGAGAAAAAAACTGGTGACCAAAACATCCAAATCAAACCCACTTTACCTGCACTCTGGAAGACGAGTGTTAGGGTTCAAAGTGCAGTGGCCGTTTGCACAGTACTCATTTGTATCACATGTGTAACAGCTGGGCTGGATTCTGCCGTTTTTGCAGCTAAAGGAAACAAAAAACAAAACCTGATGAATGAAAAAGACGAAAAAACTCTTGGATGAGATCATTTTGTCAGCTGTGTGTTTGTGTGTGTGTGTTAGCACTCTCACCGGCATTTGAATTCCGTAGATGTAAAACCGTCGGCGGGAAGACATTCGCCGTCTCGACAAAAGTGACACTTGTCTATCTCACACGTGGCGCCCATGTACTGAGGCAGGCAACGGCACAGCTTGGTGCCCTTTTCGCTCTGCAGACACGTGCCATCGTTCAGACAGTGGCCTTCACAGCTTCCTGCTCACACACACACACACCAAACATYTCAGTGCATTAGTCCCATCTGTAACAGACTTTTATTACCAAGTAAAACCTTGCTGACACGACCTAACAGAGGAACACTCACTGTACTGGCACTTGTCCCCGAGGAAGTCCGGGGGGCAGCGACACGTCGGCTGGTTTCCTGAGCTGACGGTACAGTTGCCTCCGTTCTTGCAGTAATCCTTACAGGTGTGCAGGTTACATGTCGGCCCCGTGAAGCCCGTCAGGCATCGGCAGGTAGGAGAACCTGCGGGAGGACAAACAGTTTAGTTTGCTTGATGATAGTAGGATAGTAGGGTCAAAATATGTGACCCATCACATCAAACCGAGGATTAAATTGAAAAAAGGCTGGGTGGGACGATAGGGGATAAAGTTTGTGTTATCAGCTCTGTTTTTAGTTACCTGTAGGAGAAGGTGTGCATATCCCTCCGTTCCTGCAGTAGTCTTTGCACTGATCGATCTCGCACCGATCCCCTCTGTAATTCGGCTGGCAGCGACACTTGGGCTGCTTGCGGGCGTTCAGGAAACAGCTGCCACCGTTCATGCACTGGAGGGAGCAGGGCCCGCTGGGAGGAGCTGTGGGTCAGAGAGGCACGCAGAGTTACTCAGACGCCTGCACACGCTGTGTGTTCACGAGTCGCGCCGTCCCGATCGCTCACTCACAGACGGGGGACGACGTGGGAGTCGGCAGCTCCACGCAGGTGCCGTTGTCCAGCGTGCGTCCATTGGGACAGGTGCAGACGGGCCCGCTGGGACTCAGCAGACATAACCATTCACATTTCTTCCTGTCACAGGGGTTAGTCACTGGCAGAAAAACAGAGAACATAACCAAACGTTATTCTTTACTGTTTTAACCAGCTTTGGTTTCAGTTTTCCTCCCTTTACTCACTCTCAGGTTGTTTGTATCGGTGCTGCAGAACCAGATCTGAGGCGTGGTTCATTCCGGTTGCCAGGTTCTCCACGGGGCCTTTACCGAATTTATTTACTCTGAAGACCTGATTGTTCCTGTAGGTGACACCGTAGATGGTATCCTCAAAGATATCGATGCTGAATGGATGCTCAAGCTCTGGAAGAAGCAAAAACCCACAAATGGAAGCTGAGGATTATTAAAATACAGCTTTTATTGTAATAAAAAACAACTTTGTCCCATTTAATGCCAGATTTTTGAGCAGGGATGGAGTTACAGTGGGGTTAATGTTATTTGTTAGCACTCAGAGTGTGTGTTGTGTTTATCTATCTGCTAATGCCACAATAAAATTTAGCTTAATGTTTGTAAATTTGAAGTTTTTGTGTTTGCTAACGTCAATTAGCTTTGGTGGCCATCTTGAGCTGAGTTGACTCCAAATGTTCATGAGTTGTAGTCGAATATTTAATTTTTACTTTCTGAGAATTTCACTAAAATCTGCCTGGTGTTTTATCACATACTTTTCTAACAGACAAAGAGAAGTGACTTAATAATTGAGCAATCTGTTAGCATTCAGAGTACGACTGTCAGCTACTACCTCATCACATTATAGCACGATATTTGTGAAATGATCTGTTGCAACAATTTTTGTGTCCATTAGTTCATTCAAATTTAACAGACAGATAAATAAACAGAAACAGGCAAAAACAAATCCCCTTTTTGTCTTCAGCAGTGGAAAAAACTGATCGTTTCCATAGGTTACAACACGTTAAATCTACTCAACTGTTTTTCAACGTGTTTACAGCAACAACTGCATCGCTGCCGTCCAGCCTCACACTGCTGATGAGGGAGAGTTTAGCGTCGGCCCAGTACAGACGCTCGTTGTAGTAGTCCACTGTCAGACCTGCACAAGCACAGCTCTGTTAGGAAAAGCTGAACCTGTTCGAGTTTTTACCAGGTGACCAGCTGGTTTTACCTGTCGGCCACTCGATGTTGTCTTCCACCAGCGTCTCTCTCATGGTTCCATCCATAGCAGCGGTTTCAATCTTGGGGTGGTTGCCCCAGTCCGCCCAGTACATTTTCCTAAAGGATTAAAAATAAATCTATTATCTGTCATGGCTGTTACCATTAGAGCCTGTTTCTTTAAAATTATAAAAATCTTTCTGTTTCCCTTCTCACCCTCTCGGGGGGTCCACTACGAGAGCGTAAGGCTCATCAATCATGCCGGAGATCAGAGTTTTGCAGTGGCGTCCACCGTTTATCTGGGCCACCTCGATGACGTCTCGCCCAGAGTCAGTCCAGTACAAGTTCCCTGCCACCCAGTCCACAGCAATGCCCCGGGGCATCTTCAGATCTGGAATCTGAATGCGGGAGGAAAATAATATAATAATAAACACACATGAGTTTGAACCGGCAAAACCACGTGTGCAAGCAGGACGCGCAGATGTCTACCTCTAGGTTAACCACCCGGGAGTCTCCCTGGCGCCCGTTACGGTTACTGCTCTGTGAGGAGGAGGAGGAGGCGGGCAAATCGTAGGAGGAGATGCGGCCCGTGTGCCAGTTGGTCCAGTAAAGCCGGTTCGTCTTCACGTGCAGGTCCATGGCGTCGATGCGCACGTTGGCGTCGCCGTGGAAGATCTGCTCGTAGCGCCAACCGGGCATGGAGGGGTCCAGACTGCGGATCTCGTTGTCGTCGCCGATGTACAGCACGTGTCCCTGAGCTGGAGACGGAAAGGAAATGTCATGAAGGGGAAAACGTGGAAGGAGGCGAGCTGAGCTATGCAGTGGAAGAAACTGTACAGATTAATGTCTGCATTTAAACGCAAACAATTCTGGATAGAATTATTATTATTGTAGAAAACAGGATGTCTAAATAAGTAGGAACACTGGAACATACCAAAAATGTTGAGTCTTTCCCACATTTTATTCAAAACCTGAACAAAACCTGCATAAGCTTCACACTAGGGTACTTGCACAAACATAAATGCACTTGTTGACGATTGAAACATTAACAAAGCCTGGATGCTCACCATCGGCCTTGCAGGTGTTATTTATTCTGCTGAAATACTTGTGGCAGCTGCACTTGTAGGAACCCTTTGTGTTGTTGCAGATGTGGGAGCACATTCCAAACTGCTTACACTCGTTCTTATCTGTGAAGGCCACGGGAAACAGTTTTAATGAGTTGAAGCGTTATGCAGCAAAAAAAAAAAAWAAAAAAAAAAAACAGTTCAGAGCAAACATTACCCTCGCATCTGTTCCGCCCGTTGGGCTGGAAGCCTGGTTTGCAGGAGCAGAAGGAGACGGTGCCATTGACCACGCAGTGGGCTTCGTCGCCGTCTCCGCACATYGTCACGTTGCGGCTGCATTCCGTGCGCCCCGAGTCTGCAACAGAGAACGCCACAGTCACAACTGATACCCACACATGAYGGGACGGGAAGGTCGGGAGGAGAGAGGGTGTGCAACGCACCTTTCTTCGTGCAGCTGATTTCATCTGAGCCATAGTCCTCACAGTCGTTGAAGTGGTTGCAGAACAGATCGGAGTTGATGCAGCGACCGTTGAAGCACTGGAGCTCGTTCTTTTGACAAACCGGTGGGAAAGGAAGTGTTGCTGGAAAAGAACACGTGTCAAAAAACAGTTTTTTTACTTTTCTCAACACGTCATAAAAACTCCTAATCAGCAGAGTTTAAAAAACTAAGACCATCTTATGATGAGAAATTACTGAGTTATAGCCGATTTTGAACAAAACATAAATGACATGATGTGCAGTAACATGCAATATCGCAAAACCTCACCATCAAAGTATGTGTTAGGAATGATGCTAAGCTACAACCATACTGAATTTTAGCTTAATATCTAAAAACATGTTAGAACTATAGAGTTAGAGTTAGAACTATTTTAGTATTTTCTAAGGTCAGTTGGCTGTGGCGGCCATGTTGAATAGGGCTGGCTCCAAATGAAATGTAGATTTATTCATTCCTTTTAGATTTTCACTAAAATCGTTCAGGAGATATTTTAACAGACAGTAAGAGTTAAAAAAAATCTTTCAGAATAGGTGTGTGCTGAGGATAACTCAACTATGACACCAAATTGTAGCTTAATATTCCTAAACTAAGATTGTGTAGCTGTGACGGCCATCTTGAAAGTTAATCTGTTGTAGAGACACATCTGATAATGACACTGTGAACGTTTCATAGAACTCTATTTACTGGTTCATGAGATATTTTGCTAACACTACAAGTGAACTGACGTGGGCAAAAACACTGCCTTCAGCCGTGACAGAAAAAGATTTATTTTTAACACTTACTAAAAAAAAGATCAAAACTTTTGCTCTTGTTTCTGAGACTTACGGCAGTAAAGCTCATCGCTCTGGTCTCCGCAGTCATCCACACCGTCACAGCGTTTGGACAGCGGCAGACACACCCTGTCATTGTAACAGCGGAACTGCCTCGTATGTGGACACTGGAATTTACCTGAAGGACCAGAAGAGAGGAGGGTTAGATAGCAGAAAAAATGACTCTGTATGTGACAGACGACGGACATCTGAAGTGGGATAAATCTCACCGCACTCCTCCGGGTTCTCGTCTGAATTGTCTCCACAGTCGTCCTCGCCGTCGCACATCCAGCGCAGCGGTTTGCAAAGCGAGTTGTTGCACTGGAACTCGTGCTGGAGACAGTGTCTGCCCACTGAAACGCCAACAGGGAGGAAAAAAAAAGCCCTCTGTTACCAGCAGTGAAACAGTTTGGGCCTAATAGGATTTAAACGATTGTTTCCTCTCCTCACCACGGTCACAGTTCTCCTCATCGCTGCCGTCCATGCAGTCGACGTCTGCGTCGCAGCGCCAGAGGATGGTGATGCAGTGGCCATTTTTGCACTGGAACTGATGGCTGTCGCATTTCACATCACAGCCAATCTGAAGGAAAACACCATTACTTACATTAGTGTGGCTTCTACACACACACACACACACACACACATATACTGTGTGTGTGTGTGTGTGTGTGTGTGTGTGTGTGTGTGTGTGTGTGTGTGTGTGTGTGTGTGTGTGTGTGTATTTTTTACTTTTTATTCAATCAAGCACCTGCAAAAATTGCCAATCTAACCAAATCTTACAATTTTATATTTTGCCAAAAAGTATTTTTGATCATGTTTAGTGATTAATAAACTAAGCAAGAGCAGAATGTTTTAAACTTGTTAGCCTGGACATTTTTTTCAAGAAGTCTTACTGCACTGGCAGATTATTTTGCTTAATTTAAGAAGATTCATACTATAAAGACCCACAGGAGAGCCCACATTACACCTGTTTTAGCCTTTCTGCACTGGCTTCCTGTGCATTTGAGGAGTCATTTTAAAATTTTGGTTTTAACTTTCAGAGCACTTCATGGTCAGGCCCCCAAATACATACTGGACCTCCTGAAGCCTCTCTGTCCATCCAGGACTTTGAGGTCTTCAAATGCTGCTGGTGGTCCCTCAAACCCATTATAAAACCTGTGGAGATAAAGCTTTTCAGGTGGTGGCCCCGAGGCTCTGGAACGCTCTCCCTCTGTTCCTTCGCTGCTCTGATTCTACTGACTCTTTTAAGAAACATCTTAAGATATTTTTATTCAAACAGTCTTTTAGTTAATGCGCTTTTATTGTGTTTTTATTGTTGTTTTTTATATTTGTGATCTGTTTTATTGTTTTTAGTTATTTTTGCTTTCTGTGAAGCACTTTGTGATGTTTGTGTCTGTGAAAGGTGTTATAGAAATAAAGTTTACTTACTTTCTTACTTACTTACTATAATCTAATATTTTTAACTTGTTTGTAGATATAATTATTGCAGTGAATGAACAAAAGTTTAACAAACCAGTTTAAGAAAATGAAGGGCCTCTCTAATCCAGTTTAAATATGTAAGTGGAGCTAGAGATGTCCAATTTATTTTTTATTTATTTGTTTATTTATTTATTTATTCATTTATTTTGTGTTTCGGTCCTCAAAAAAAATGTAGGAGGATGAAAGAGGAGTAAAATAAAAAAGAGATGTCAAATTTAGCAACATTAGCTTCCTGCAATTGGGGCCTTTTTTACAGAGATGAGAGCAAGYAAAATAGGCCACACCCCTAAACAAGGTAATTGTCACCAGGAGCATTATCCTCTCCAGTTCCATTAGAAAAACTTTAAACCAGAACCTCTTTATGGGAGGACAAGTCCAAAACATGAGCGTAATTGGCTGTGACTTGTTGACATTGTTCACCCAGAAGACATGATGTGTGAAACATTTCTGCAAGCCTAGCTCTAGTGTCCTCTTGRTGTGCCTGATTCCAAAGCTGACGGAGCGATACCTCATCGGAGCCGTCAGCACAATCGTGGTCCCCGTCGCACTTCCAGCGCCCGGCAATGCAGCGGCCATTTGTGCAGGAAAACTCGCTCTCTGAACACTTTCGAGGCGCTGAGGACAGAAAGAAACGAGCTTAGAGGAACGGGAGGGGCCTCGTCCAGTAAGAACTAAAGAGCAGAGGGAAGTAACAAGGAAAGGAAAAGATCGGAACAGAGCAGACTGAAAAAAGAAAGGTGCTGATAGTTCATCTCAGGGGGATGATCTCAATGGGCACAAAGATGCTGACGCTATAAAAAGGTGGAAGAGAAGAGCTTGCGGAATTTGAAAAAAAAGGGAAAAAGGCTTGCAGAACAGATAAAAAGCCGGGATAAACACAAGGCCGGGTAGTTTAGGTTTGTGGTTGATGTGAAATGTGACAACACCTACCTCTGGCTCACAGCAACCGGTCAGTGTGAAATGCAAAACAGACATGAGATGATGTGAGATGTGCAAACGCCCACAGAACACTGCTTTGGTAGTTCTTTATGAATACAGTTATAGTTTTTTTATTTGGACTTTTTTATTAAGTACCTTTGTTACTATTTACTACAGTACGGTAATTTGAAATTTTCTTTCATCTTTATCTTGATCAATACATCAGCCAGTTTGCTAACATCAGAGACCTAAAACATTTAAAATGAGCTGTGATTGTGTTTGATCAGACAGTGTGTGTTCTAACTGATAAAGAACCTACCACACTCTTCCTCATCTGAGTTGTCCCCACAGTCATTATCGTAGTCACAGTGCCACCGGCCGGGTACACAGCGGTTGTTTTTGCACCGGAACTGGTACGGCTCGCACGTCCGCTCATCTGAGAGACAAGAAGAAAAGTTCAAGAGTGGCTGCAGCGTTTGAAGTCCTCCTCCTTCGTCAAAGCAGCTCCGTTCCTCACCACACTCCTCCTTGGGTTCGTCTGAGTCGTCGCCACAGTCCGATTCGCCGTCGCACTTCCAGAGAGCTGGGATGCAGCGTCCCGAGTCTTTACAGCGGAACTCGTCCACGCCGCACGTCATCTGAGCTGCAGTGCGGAGGATTTCACGGGTTAAAAAAAAAAACCAGACTCGCCCTGGTCCAGCTGATCAGATTCATGCAGAGGTTGTTGTTTTCTTACTGCAGTTTGCAGGCTCGTCAGAACCGTCCATGCAGTCGTTGTCCCGGTCACACACCCACACCCGCGGGATGCAGCGCTTACTCATGGCACACTGGAACTGGTTCGGAGCGCACGTGACCTCGGCTGCAACAATAACACACACACATTCAATTATTCCTCTGGATTTTGGCAGCACTTTGTTGTTTCTAGTTCTAGTTAAAATGTGTAAAAATGCTCATTTAGACCTTGAGCCAAAACTGCAATTTTTGTGATTTTTGAGTTTGTGCTCAGAAATCGTCACAATAATAAGACTATGCAACACGATCTGACCTGTGAGCACTGCTAAAGGAGAGAAGAAATTAAGCAGTGAGCGAGGATTTATCAGATTTATATGTGCTGATAATATTTTGCGATGTAACATTAACAAGCAAATTTCAGTTTGTGAAAATTAAAGTAGACCTAACGTCACACCATAACTTAGCTCTGCCAATGTTTAAGAAACTACAGAAGTGTTTTTGACTCACGGCAGTCTTTCTCATCCTCTCCATCTCCACAGTTGTCCTGCCCGTTGCAGCGGAAAATGCCGGGGATGCAGCGGTTTGGGTGGGAACATTTGAACTGACTTGGCAAGCACACATGGATATCTGGGAAACAACAAGAAAAAACCCCTCAAATGTACAAATGGCTACTAAAAATATGCACATTTTTAAATGTTAAATTAATGTGTATCTCTATGTACCACAGTTGGCTTCATCTGAGTTGTCCTGGCAGTCATTGTCTCCATCACAGATGTAGGCAGGGTTGGTACAGATGCCGGTGCCACACTGGAACTGACCCGGTTTACACTTAAACTCAGCTACAGGGAGAATTAAACACACACACAACTCATGATCACATTCTGACAAACCAGCAAATGAAAATAGAGAAATTGCTATTTTTTTTGCTGTGTGTTGAATGGCTTTGCTAAAATTTGCTGAATTGTTACCTGAATTGGTAAAGTTAAAATCAGCGCAACAGTAGCTAAAAGCTAAAATTAGCAAAAGGAGGACAAAGGGAGAAAAATTGTGCCACAATGCTGAATGCAGATTTCAGAGAAAAATGCTTTGAAATAGTTAAATATCGCAAAATTTTTGTGGAAAATCTTAGTAAAAATAGTTAAATAATTCAAAAAGCACTCTACAATTGACTAACAGTCTTCTGACTATATGTATGTTCTTATTTTTTGATTTTGTTATCATTGTTTTTACCCCAGTAGTGTACCCCATGTAGTGTGTATATATGACCCCCCCGGTTTGTAGATGGATGGATGGATGGATGGACGTACGTTCGTACATACAGAAAGAGAGAGGAGAAATGTGTATATAAAGTTAGAATATATATGAGTTCATAAAAATATAAATATTTAGAATGGAGGAACATGGCATTGGTCAAAGACTGGACCTGTCACCACGGGGRGATGTAACTATTGTTTGCTGTAGTATTGTCAATTTTTATAAAATAAAGAATTATAAAAACAAAAAAATATTCAAAATGTATAAATATTACAAGCACCAAAAGTCTGGTATGTCAGTCAGTATAGTTAAAGTAGAATAATGGTTGTGGAAGTAGTTTGATTGCAAGAACACGCAGAAGAAGCTGTAAACAGGAAAACACTGCGCACGCTGACTCAGCAGTATTACTCCTTAGCTGCACTCGATACTTACGGCAGTCTGTGGGCTCGTCTGAGCGGTCCCCACAGTCGTCCTCCGTGTCGCATTTCCACCAAAACGGAATGCACTTGTCATTTTTGCAAACAAACTAAAGGCGCAGAAGAGAAAACTGTAAACATCTTCTGTTTATATCACGTCTAAGCCAGCCAATATCTAAAATAACAGCCCTCTGCAAACTCACCTGGCTTGCGGTGCAGTTGGACAAACACTGTCTGCCATCAGGTGCCAAGTAGAAGTTAGTGGGGCATGCACACTTAAAGCCCCCTTCAGGTGAGAGTAAACACAGGTTGCTGCAGCCTCCGTTGTTTGTCTGGCATGGATGGCCCGACACTAATCAAATCAAAAGCAAGAGATGTAAACCGTTGTTATTACAGTAAATAAAACAGGGACGTGTGGTTCATGGGGGTCTCGCTGATACCTTCAGGCTGCCGGTATGGATGGTACACATGGATGTCCATTGGTCTGTGCAGGGTGCTGATCAGCATGGACTTGTTGGTTCCCAGTGTTTTATGAGCCCTGTTGATGGACTTAGTCTCCCAGTCTGTCCAGTAGATGTACTCCTCAAACAGAGTCATGGCAAAGATGTGTGGAATGTCCTCAATCAGGACTACATGGACACACAGATGGACATGTAGGTTAGTTAAAAACAAAAACATCAGGAACACGACATGAGTGAAAATACTGACCCGTGTGTCTGTTGGTTCCATCCATGCTGACAAACGCAATGTAGTCCTCTCGAGCGTCGGCCCAGTAGACCCGGTCATTTACGAAGTCCAGGGTCAGTCCATTGGGCCAGGTGATCTTATCCTGTACAACAACACTCCTGTTTGTACCGTCCATCCCGATCCTCCCGATGTGGGGGTTGTCACCCCAATCGGACCAGTACAAATACCTGTCAGGGATAATTTGTGTTAATATTCTTTTAGTTTGGAAACGGAAACAGTGGAGATCAAACACAATGAAAACACACTATCATGAACAGCAAATAAGCAATTCTAATATAAACTCATTTTATGTAGTGCTGGGCGGTATACCGTTTTGTACAGAATACCGGTTTTTATTTTTGCTATATGAATTTTCTGAATACCAGACATACTGGTTTAAATAGCCTGAACACGTTCGGAATGTTTCGTCGCGGCCGCCAGTGAACTGTTTCCCGGGGGACACTTTTCCTCGCAGCACTGCTATGTTTGTTAGCAGGCTAATGTTTGGAGCAGCTTGTTGCAGCAGCGTGTGGCGATTCCGCTGCTTATATTGACTGACGTTAAAAAAACATCCAGTTTTCGCCATCGCTGAATGTAGTAAACACCTCTTCAGTGACGTGCACAGTTAGTTAATATGGAGACATTATGCTGATGGAGACTTAACGTGGTTCTATTGTGAAAAGCCCGGGGGGAGTAGTTTTGTAGAGGAGTTGAGTTGACTGATGTGCGAGGTGAGTCGTCCTGATAAGTTTTATTAAATAACATAAAACAATAGACCCGATAATCTTTTCTTAACACTCCTCCTTCACGACCGGACCAAAATGCATGACTACTGTTTACAACCACCAGTCAGAGAAAAGACACATAGAGGGAAACAGCGACACAGAGGTACAGTAAAAGAAAAAAGTTATTTTAAATTTTATTATCAGCTGACCTGTGATGAAAAGAAAAATACAGTAAAAATACCGTCAAACCGGTGTAAATGTTGAAAATACCRTGATATAAAATTTGGGTCATACCACCCAGCACTAATATTATGTCAATAGCAGTTGACAAACACTCAAAAAAAGCTAAACTTCCTTTTATGTTTTTCCCCAGAGTGGTTTTAATACGCCACAGTATTGCAGTCATCTGGGTCTCCAAACATAATTGTAAAAACAATTTTTTCTTCCCCCTTTTTTTTGGCATAATCGTTCTTACCCGTAGCGCACATCCACAGCGACGGCACGTGGCTCCTTCAGACCGCTGTTGACGAGAACGGTCCGGTACGCTCCGTTCAGCTTTGACACCTCAATAGTGTCTCGTCCCTTATCGCACCAGTACAGGTTTCCTCCCACCCAGTCCACTGCCAGACCATCAGGGTTGCTGAGTAATGTGCGGTGAAGGACCTGAGAAAAAARAGAGAGAGAGAGAGAGAGCGAGCAGAAAATCATTTCGGTGTCACGAAAAAGGATTTACATATTTCTTCTGGATTGCGCACACACACAGACACACACAGAGCAGTAAAGATGAATATCAATCTGACATGATGTCATGAAAGCAGGCAGGTGTTATCAGCACCCACCTGAACATTGCTGCCATTGATGTGCATCCGTCGTATCATACTGCCCTGTGTGTTCACATCGGTCCAATAAATCATCTGCTGCCGGTAGTCAAAGTCCAGAGCGACGGCGTTGTTTAATCCCTGTCAAAGCGCAGGAGCTGCATTAATCTCAGAGAAACTGCTGCAGGACGGTTTCCAGTTCCCATCACACAGATTCACAGGCCTGACCTGTTTGAGCAGAGTGTAGTTGGAGCCGTCCAAGTTGAGCTTCCTCAGGTAATAGCGGTTGGCAAAGATGAGGAATGGCTCTTCATCTGTGGGTGGGGGTAGGGTGGTGGTTATCATACATGAGGAGACTGGCCTCAAACACTCGGCTAGCTGGCATTAACCTGCCGTTTTCCTTACCTGAAGTCGATTTGCATATGTTTGGGTTTGCAGGACTGGGCAGGAAGCCCTCCACACACAGACAGTGGAAGCTGCCGTGTGTGTTGATGCAGCGCTGCGTGCAGGGGTAAGTGGTCGTGCATTCGTCTACGTCCACGCACGTCTTCCCATCGTCTTTCAGACGGAAGCCAGGGTTGCATCTGCACTGTTGGGGAGGTGAAGTAAAACAGGTATAAAGCAACAGCTGGCTGTTTTTTGTTTTCTTTCACGGATTTGTTCCGGTGAATTCCGTCCGCTTACCTTAAAGCCTATTTTCAGGTCTTCACACAGCTGAGAGCAGCCGCTCAGTTTTTTATTCAGACACTCGTTAATGAGGCAGTTCAGCTCATCAGAGCCATCGCCGCAGTCGTCGTGACCGTCACAGAGCAGCGTCTCGTTGATGCAGTTTCCGTTGATGCAGCTGTACATCGTGTCGTTGCACTGGTTTTCTGTTCAGCGAGGTAAAGGAATGAAATGGAAAGCAAGTGAAGTCAAGAAGATGAAACTTCAAAACCTCAGAAATGATTTTTAGTCTGCTAAGAGTGCTGCTGTAGAGATCCTGTACATTCCCTTGTTTAGAAGTCTGATTGGTTCTAATGACAGATGTGCTCTTATTGATGCTTAGTTTTCTGTACTGCTGGTTTTATTTGCTGTTACTTTTTATGTGCGTTTAACCTGAGCTGCTGCATCGAGGGTTTATTGGTGCTTCATCTGAGTGATCGTGGCAGTCGAACTCTCCATCGCACTCCCAAGACTTGTGCAAGAGACATCGTCCGTTGTCGCAGCGGAAGTGGTTGGGTCCGCACGTTTTATACACTGTGAAGACAAACAGCACAGGCAGGTGAAAACAGTGCAAGAATCAAATATAATCATAAATTGTGGCCTATGGGAGGTGAGGGGCAACTTACGACACTCCTGGGATTCATCGGAGCCGTCGCTGCAGTCCTTGTCGTGGTCACACACAAAGTGCCTGGGAATACACTTTCTGTTCTGGCACATGAACTCGTCTCTGCTGCATGTGTCGTTGAACACTGGGACAGATTTGGTGGGAAATTAATACTTTTTTTCCCTGCTCCAGCTGTGCAGTAAAAGCTTTATCTTTGTTTCTCAGGGAGAATGAACTCGTTCAGCCTCTGCTTGGACTCACCACAGCCAGATTTAACGCTCTCATCGGCTCCATCGGCGCAGTCTTTGTCGCCGTCGCACTTCCAGAGCTGAGGAATGCACACGTGCGATCCAGGACACTGGAACGCATCGGGACTGCAGGTTTTATTGTCTGGGAAAGAAAGAGTTCAGTTGAGATTCAATGGTTTGAACTTTCCCTTGATTTGCTTCGACTGAACGGTTCGTCTCCGACACTTACTGCACTTGCTGTCCTCGTCGGAGCCGTCGCCGCAGTCGTCAGCCCCGTCACACACCCAGCGACTGGAAATGCAGCGGTGGTTTCCACACTCAAACTGGGTGGCTGAGCAGGACTTATCTAAAGGGGCAAAAAAAGGGGGGGGGTGGCTTATGAATGACCAAACTCCAGCAGCAAAGCAAAGTAAAGGCCGTGTTTGGCTTTGTTTCACTCCATACCGCAGTGAGCTTCATCAGCACCGTTCTCGCAGTCGTTTTCCTTATCGCAGGTCCAGCTCATGGGGATGCAGCGCCCGCTGGGACAGGCAAAGAAAGGCGTGGGGCACTTCGTTCTCCAGACTCCTGATGGAGTGACAGAGCAGAGATTCATTTAGGGTGAGCGTCTCAATGAGTGGATCCAGGCGTTGGAATGTTTTTCCAGAAGAAAACTCCTGTGTTTTTTGTTACTTTGGTTAAATTAAAAATATATTTTAGATGTAAAACACCTAAAAATGTGTTTCACTCATTCTACAGAATAAAGCAGTGGAAGATGAATCAAAAATACCCGCGCAGTTTTTTTCATCGGAGAAGTCTCCGCAGTCGTTGGCTCCGTCGCACTGCCACGAGGGTGCGTAGCAGAGTGTGGTGAACTCACACTTCTGAAACATCACTCCCTTCACTCCCAGATGGAAGTAGGAGGAACAGTCCGTGGCCGCTTGATATAAAAAAATAATAATAAAATAGAAACTGAGCAAAGAGAGGACTTTTGTTTAAATGAAAACATCCTGATTGGCTTCACTTACGACAGTTCATCTCATCGCTGGCGTCCTTGCAGTCCACCTTCTGGTTACACTTGCTGGAGTTGGAGATGCAGCCTCCGTCTCGACACTGGAACTGACTGGCTGAGCACAGCGTGGCTGAGAGAAATGATAGTGTTCAGAGTCAGATGTGTGACTGAAACATCTGATGAGTTGTGTGTAAAACTGACTGAGTTACAGACATTTTTGTGTCTCTAAGTTTGATTAGTTGTGATGTCATCTTGAATCAAACTGACTCGATCAGGTGATCAGTTGTAGATGTGCATCGAGTGATTACATTCTAAGAGTTTTCCACCTCACTGTGAAAACTGGTACACTCAACAATCAGGGGAGACGGAGCATTTAGGGAGGCTTGGTTAGTTTCAATTTAAAAAGCAAATCAGCCTCGAGTCTAATTGAATTTAAGAGTTAAAGACACAGGCGGTGCTTTAGATCAAAGCTTGAAAGCGACGCTACCGCAAAATAAATGTGACAAAAACGTTTTTGTAACTTTGATGTGATTCATGTTGATTCGCAGATGATCATGCATTTGCATATGCATGATTTGAACAGATTTGATATATGATGGAGGGTAGACTCACTGTTACAGAAAACTTCATCAGAATTGTCTCCACAGTTGTCCTGCCCGTTGCACCAGGAGCTATGTGCCACACAGCGCCCGTTCACACAGCGTCTGTAGCCCTTCTTACACACACGGTTGGCTGAAAACCAGAAGAGATGGACTCAACGTTCAACCAGCAGAGAGAAAAAATGACAAAAAATAAAATAATGAATAAATCTCAAGACTTCACTCACCGCAGTAGGACTGCTTCTCATCAGACTTGTCCTTACAGTGGGCCTTGGCGTCACAAGTCAGTGTGTAGTTGATGCAGTCTCCATTTCCACACTCAAACTCATCGATGCTGTTGCAGGTGGTGTTGGCACCTGAACAGCACAAACACAAACAGGGATGCAGGAGATCAGACTGGATCAATGAAATGAATCCAGTTTATCTGTATGAAGCATTCACACCAGTGTTTTCCTGCCTTTTTTTAATCTATCTTGTTAAGTCCACACAGAAAATGAATAGTTAATATGGTCTTTGCAAATTTTAAAGTTAAAAATAATAAATTATTATTATCACTTCATGGCAGAGACACCAGCATTGTCTGTTTAGCCTCAAACTCTGAGCAGAATGAGGCGATGGACCAACATAAACAGACTTTAAGTGAGTTTTTTTTAACCAGCATAAAATCTTGTTTTACCAGTGCAGGTGTTGTCTTCCAAAAGCTTCCGGTCACCACGACAACTGCAGGTAACCCTTCCCTCAGAGGTCAGCAGACACAGGTCCTGACATCCTCCATTGTTGACGCGACACAGAGAGAACTCACCTGTGCAAACAGGAGGAAAGTCAGAAACAAAGACCTGCAGGAAACTTTCTGTTTGAAGGCTGTCGTTTCATCTTTCTGTCTTGACTTCTTTTCGTTGTGTTTTCATCTTTGTTTTCTTAAATCTTCTCTCTATAGTCTACTTCATATTTGGTTCCAGTTTTGTTCTAGTACAAGCTGTTCTGTTGCCTTTTTTTTTGTTCATAAGTTGACAATGTAGTCTTTGTCTTATTTTCTTTTTTTAAGTTTATAATTCCCGACTATTTATGCACCAACTCCTSTTGTTTCTAAAAGTGCTTTATGGATAAATCTGTGTGCATCCAGATCAGCTAACATACATGAGGCATGAATACAATAACAGCTCAGCTTCAGCTAAGTGCACCACTCACTGTGACTCATTACCACCAGGATTTGAAGCTGTTACAACAAGCTCTTAGTTTGAGGGTTTGTGGGCATTAAAGAGTATAAAATTCAATAAATGAGGAAACTCGTGGGTAAAAATACGATAGAGAAAACAATTCAAGACATCATTCAGGAGGATAAACACAACTGTCGATCAAGCATCCATCTCAAATTTTTTATTCCAATATTATAAAAGTTCAAGTTAGTCTCATATTTTACCACTTCAAGTCAAAACAGCCAAACACCCAGATGATTCCTGACTTTATGTGAAAACTTACAGCTGTTCGTGTCGTTGGCCACAGCGACGATGCCCATTGGCTGCTGAGGGATGTCAGCCCGCAACACCTTCATTTCTCCCCCTGTGTATTTATCGGCACGAAGCACCGCCCTCCTGACCCAGTCAGTCCAGAAGATGTAGTCTCCGTACACCGCCAGGCCAAACGGGTGGACCGGCTCATTCTTCAGCACCACCTGCCGGGGGAAAGTACAACCGCAGCTATAAATCGGTGGTGTTGAATAACTAAAAACAAACAAGCTGCCAGCTGTTAATCCTTAAAGRAACCAACATCATATAGATAAGACTTTTAAACTAAGAACATCCTCTGTTGAAAAATGATCAAATTAAACCAGATTTCAGTTTCAGTTAGGAATGACATTTGAAGGAGCTCCTGAAACTCACGTATCGCCGACTGCCGTCGTACTCGCAGCGCTCGATCTTGTCGAGTGTGGCATCAGAGAAGTAGAGCTTCTCAGCCCGGTGGTCTATGGCCAGGCCGTTAGGGGTTCTGATGTCCGAGCCGATGATCACGAGGACGTTGGCACCAGCCAGAGTGGCGCGCATGATGCTGGGAGACTGCTCGTTCCAGTTGGTCCAGAACATCAGGCTGCAGGACGGCATGGACGGGTGTTATATTAGGAAACGTACCAGGTAAAGGTAAAGGTGTAAATAAAACCAACAGAACCAGATCTGACCTCTGACACTCATCAAGAACAAAGGCTCTCGGGTGATCGTCTCCAGACATTGTAACCACGGTGTTCCTGTCCACGGCCCCCCAGCGGCTCTGATCCACAGTGTGGCGGGTGATGGTTGAGGTGGTGTAGCTGGTCCAGTATAACATATCCCAGCCCCTGTGGTACGCCAAACCCTCCACCGAGCCAACATCTTGGAAAACACGAGAGGAAGACAAGAAGAGAAGAAAAAGGAGCAGGTCATGTTGTGTTTCRTCTGGTGTCAGTTTAAGTTCAAGTTCAGTTTATTTATATAGCGCCAAGTCACAACATACGTTGTCTCAGGGCACTGTACATAAAAAGAACAATCAAAAGAAGAAACCAGCAGATTGTGTTGAATAACTTCATCACAGTCTCCCATCCTGAGCAAACTGTGGAGAGGAAAAACTCCCTGCTAATCAGGAAGAAACCTCCAGCAGAACCAGGCTCAATGGTGTCAGTTTAGTGCTGGCTGCATGCTGGACACGATGGTTTGGTTTTAGAAAGAACAATGTGACGTTCTGGACATTTACCCAGCAAATAGCAAAGGAAAAGTTGACCAGTTTGCATATCATTTTCCATCGCACTTTGAAAAGGAAAAAAAGAGGTAATTTTTCTGCTGCAAAGCTTTGAAATGTGTAAAAGGTTGAGCTTCCTGCTTGCAGGGAGGCCAGAGAACACACAAGAAGGGAGCCAAGATGGAGAAACACCAAGTTCTGCAGCAGGAGAGAGAAAACAGTCCTCCTGCTGCTGAAAGACAATACGTCCACACAAATATGTGCTCTCGTGTGCTTCAGATGGAGCCGGGTTGTTCCAAAAATAAGCAAAGGATAACAATCACCCCCTCTTGTTACTGTTACTGGATATGATCTCAGACTGTCACACCTCTGGCCAAATCAAACTGAGGTTTACCACCAGGTCCAGGTGAGACACTCATTGCTGACTCTTTACCTTTGGTGCATTTATGTTGTGCAAGCAAGGAAAATCTGAATGGAGTAAAAACAAGCAACTCACAAAAAAATCACTCTGCTTCTCATAAATCAGAGAGTGATAAAAATCCATAACATGAAATCTATTCTCCATTTCCTCTTTCTTCCACGCTGTTAATGAGTTGAGCTGCTGCAGCTTTCTGTTCAAACTCCTCCTGGTTCACCTCCTCTTCCATTGCTGTTGTCCTAAAGCCTATTTACGTTTGTATAAATCCACTGCTATTGTTGGATTGGGACAAAAACACAAACTTGATGAACCTGCATCTTCACTGTCAGTAACACAGATGAGCTGAATTTATGGCTCTTAATGACGGCTGTACTGACACTGAGTTTATAGCCGTTACCTGGACTAGATGTGATTGCAGTTCAGTATTCGCTATCAGGCCGGTAGTCAATAATTACCCCAGATTTTAAAGGCAAACACTGCTTTAATGTTGATTTTTTTTGTTTACTCATAGTACAGTATTTGTACAGGATTTGTGAAGGCCAGATCGAAGTYAGCACTTCTAAACAATCTGCAGATCCTTTCAGATAAGAAGCTGCAAACACGAAGCATGGGAAAACCTAAACGTTAGGCTGTGTTAGACCCTCCCACAGAGAGCCGGCCAGCCCATCGGTCCAGAGTTCACCTGCCGTTTACTGTTTCATCCTTCTTTTCTGTCAAACTATTCACCTGCTCACCGGTTTCCAGAATGTTTCTCAGGAGATTCCTCTCCTGGAGGGAGGAGGAACGTTGAATGTGGATCAAAGTGCCTGACTGAGATTTCATGTGAAGCTGCTGTCAGGCGACAGGAAATCACAAAATACTCTCTGATCCAAACAGGAAGAAGAGATTTGGAAGTTTCTCGCCTTCATTGGAGCTGACTGGATGGACTGATCATGAACAGCACACGGAAAGCACTAATTATGGTGACTGAAATGCTATGATTTTTTTATATTGTGTCATGTGAAACTGGAGAGAAAAGATGAGGAAATAATTTGTGGTAATTAGAGTCATAGTTGATGTTAAATGCCTGGAAATCTGTGTGATGTTATTTCTTAGAACAGTGTTATCGACCCTCGCTATGACAAATTATTCCTGCATGTATTATCAGCAGTTTTATGACTGGATAAGCAAACTGTCCAAACAAACAGCACTTGACTTTCAACAGCGTCGCTCTGACTCAGATTAAGGACAAGATGCAGAACTCGTTGGGTTCAGAGGATCAGCTGGGGAACAGAAGCAACTCTGGGCTGGCCAACGTGGAAAAGATCATTGTGCCGATCCTAGACAGTCTGATTGTGCTGCTGGGAGTCACTGGTCACACCGTGGTGATGGTGATCTTGTGTGGACGATGGAGGAGATTGGGGAGACCTACTGGACAAGCTTCCCAGGGCTCTTTGACAGGAACGGGGACGGACATCCTCCTGGTGGCGCTGAGCGCTGCAGACCTGCTCCTCCTCTCCACGCTTCCCTTCCACACCGCCTCCATAGCCATGCAGGAGTGGCCGTTTGGGGACTTCATGTGTCGTCTGATCAGTTTCTTGGGGTCMGCGTGCTCGTCAACTAGCGCCTTCACTCTGGCAATGCTGGCCGTCTCCCGGTATCTGACTGTGGTGAAGCCTGACAGGGCTTACAGGCTGCTCACCCCTCGCAATGTGTCTGCGGTAGCCGGACTGCTCTGGGTCCCGGCCTGTTGCCTGGGTTTTCCCCAGCTGGTTTTCCGCTCAGTGGGAACCACGGAACAAAATGGTGGTGGCTTTGTTTGCTTTGTTTTCTCGTCTCACCAAGACCAGTTGATCTACGGGCTGGTTCACTTCCTCGCAGCGTTCTTGATTCCACTGATTACCATTGCAGTGGCATACGGAGGCATCTTTGTTTTCCTATGTAGGGGTCAACATGCCGGCAGGGCCCCTCAAGTGGAGCGCTACCAAAGTAAAGTGACTCTAACAACAGCCATGTTGGTTCTGGCTTTTACCCTGTGCTGGCTGCCCTCCTACGGACTCACGTTGACCTTACTGGCGACTGGCTCAAATGCGACTGGAGCGACAGGAGCGTCACCTCGGTACGGCGACTTCAGTGTGTTTTCACGTTTCATGGCGACCTCGTCGACGGTGATAAACCCCATCCTTTATGTGCTCATGTCCCAAAAGTTCAGACAGGATCTACTGAGGATCTTCAATAGGAAAAAACAAAAMCCAAACATTGCTGCCTGCCACTAAAACTGAAACAAACTGCTTTTACAAAGAAACTGAATGATCTCCAACTTAAACTGATCAAAAGCACTGCTCTGCTCAACATGAACACTGTATTATGCAAGAGGGTCACGAGGTTTGCTCTGGGAGTTGCTGGTTTACAAGCACAGTAGGAGAAACAGCTCTGAATCACTTGGTTGTTCCTTGTAAAAAAAGATTAAAGCAGAAATGGTAAAACATTAACACTGCACCTGTGTTTTGTTACACTGAGATAAGTAAATGAAGCTCTATCTATGGACCTTCTCTTCCTGGTTTTGTTTAGTCATGTGGGAGTTTTATTAGAAAACAAACCTTTCTTCTTCAAGGTTTCCCATCAGGGGAAGCAATTTTTAAAGGTGGTGTTTTTCCTTTGTTTACTAAAAAAAGGCCTTAAACAATGAGATGCCATGTATCTGCTGGGAGCAGGGAATACAGTAGATAAACTGAGGAAACAGCTGATTAAATCAAAGAAAAGCACATRCAAACTCACTCTCTACTATGGTTTTGAGGTTGGATCCATCATCACTGATCTGCTGGATGTTTCCAAAGTGGATGTCGCTGAAGAAGATGCGGTTGGCTCCTTTCCCTCCACCTCCTCTGTAGTCAAACGTGAGTGCGATGATATTCTTCATGTGGTCGGGGTTCTCGAACGGCCTTATGGGCGCGTTCAGGTTGTTTTCGTCCGACAGGTGGACGCTCTTGAGTATGGTGCGTTCTGAGTACAGCAGGTAGCCGTCGTAGTCGCGGCAGCCGCAGCCATCTTCCGCCAGCATGCCATGAGCGCAGGCACACGTACGCTGCCCGTTGCCGCGGTAGAGACAGAGCTGCTCACACCCGCCGTTTTTGTCTTTGCACACGTTTGTTCCTGTTATCAGACATGAGATCCAAATTACATTTCATACAGTACGGATCCAAAATGTTAACGCTCCTCGGCGTTCACTCACCTTGCTGCCGAGCTTTGTTGAAAACCTTGATGTCTTTGAGCTGGACTCCAATACCAGTTCTCAGAGAGACCGAGTATGTAGCGTTGTCCCTGTTACCTCTCTTTATAGAGCCGTTAGCATGAGTTCTGTTTGACAGCAGACACACATACAGCAATTAAATGACTTGCAGACATAAAGAAACAAGTTAGCATTCCCTGAAGGAATACATTTTGCGTTTCAGACTAAGATAATCTCATGTTAAATGATTGACGATAACATTATGCATTATCTCGTGCAATATCACACGATGCTGTGCTCCAAGTATGTTGTGAATAGGCTTGGGCAGACCGTGGTAATAAAATATGGTGACGGTATTAGTCATACATGCATCAAACTTTCTGGAAATTTCCACTAGGCTGCTATGAACATTCATGTTCTTTCCAAAGATGCCCCATATTATATTACTGATGCATATTCTGACCACCTCGATCAATTCAGAAGACAAACAGGCAGGGGGAGTCGCATCTCTTAACCTCGCAACAGAAACTTTACTCAGACTCCTGAAATAGTGAGACGATGTAGTGCTGACTGACAGCTCTGGGGACTAACCCAGCCGTGTCCTGTAGGCTTCCTATGTCAAGCCACCATCATAGCTGGACTTCTTTTGATAGTTTATTTATTTATTTATTTTTATTTTCTAGACAAGCACTGCTTGCTGCAGACAAGAAAATAGCTACAAACTTTATAAGCACAAAGACTGGCTAAAAAGATGCAGCAGCRCTGGCACAACAATGGTAAGAGTCAGATTATTTTGAAACTTAAAATCCTAAAACGATGGAAAAGATGGACATCCCCCACCAGGAATACTATATAATGAAAATTTTAAAGGTTATATGACAGTATGGATATTATTAATGATGCCCAACCCTAGCTGTGAATGACTCTCAGCTACTACCACATCAAACTTGAGCTTAATTTCTTTAAAACTGACAGAGTTGTCGCCAGTTTTGTGTTGGATAATATTGGTTATTTGTGGTGGCCATATTAAAGTGAATAGTTAAACAGTTGTGTGTATATATATATATA